TATATATATATATTACTTTCCACCATTCCTGAGCAGTCAAATACAAGATCTTTGGATCAACAACTCTCTGTGGAAACGTTTCCTGAAGCAACTCACTGCCAAGTCTGCCTGTTGGAATTAATTAACTTGCTAAAGCAGATCAGTCTGAAAGGCTTTGGAAGATAACACTAATGTAATGAGGAGTATTTGGGAAATATATTCCTTTCCTCTACGAGCCCACATCACTTCTGTTTATTGGAGTTAGCATTCCCGCATCTTTCTTACCCATTTGTTTCATCTGATGTTGCATCAACTCAAAAAAGCATTCTTCCACTGTAGGAGCTTTCAATAAAACACAATTTGACAAAAGTTACATTTAATTTGATCTGCCTCCTGTATTRGTTTTCTGCAGCCAAAACTAAATTAGCGATGCTTTACCACGGAACATGCTGCATAAAAGGGCAACAATTTGCCCTTAGTATCTTACAATTAGGCAGTGAGTAATGGTGTAACCTTGAAAAAAATGAAGGAAAAAAAAAACACTAATTGTCACATTATCATTCTGGCTGCAAAACGTCAGCTACTTAGAGTAATTAATTAACACTCTTATTGGCTATAACAGATTGGATAATTGCATGCTGAATGAGAATTTCCCTGTATGACTGCGAGCTTGATTAGATGCATAATTAATCTGGGAAGAAAGGAAGAACTGTTTAAGATTATCTGTTAATCTGTCACTGACTGATGCCCAGAACTATGGGGTGCTAATTTATTGTGTGATCAGGTGAGAACGGGAGCGATTTGTACGAACTGTGGGCTGGAAGATGACACGCTGGAGATTTTTAACAGGAGAAATGGGTGTTAAAGAGAAAATGTGAAGAAAAAACTGAAAGGAGTAAAAAAAAAAGGCAAAGGAAACACAACAGGACAAAGAAGGTATAAAGGGAATGGAAGCATTGTTGTCTGAATTCCCAGTAAATGACATCATGAATTTGCTCGATCTGTTGACATAACTGGGCTTTGAAAGGCGCTCACGCAGCTGCGCCTGAATGTTTAATTCAGCCGTATACCCACTGCCCTTTGTGATCCGCTTCTTTCCCTTCGCATAACCACAGCTTTTGTTCACGGTTGCCTGGACACAGCACAACCACAACCACAAGAGCTGGACACTGTCAATAAAAAAAGGAAGAACTGTACTTACAAGCCAGAGTTGGCCGACTCCCAATGGCCAGCTTGTAGTAGTGGAGCGCCTCTGAGAATTTGTTGCTCTCCTGCAGCAGCAAACCACTGGATCAGACAAAAAAAAAAAAAAGAGTTCAGGCAGTTTAAAGATCAAAAAGGTATAATTGAATTTTAAAGCTGCTTTTAAGGTGAAAAAACAATCCAGTCAACTTTGAAGTGGTGTTTAATAATCATCAGTAGTTAGTACTTTATCCATCAGAGAGTACAGAGTACGGAGAAAGAGGCAAACCTTTTCRAGGCTTACAAAACAATTCTTTTTCAAAAATGACATTGGTGGGGAAAAAACACTATCATAGCTAATATTAAATCTCCATACTTTTGCATTTTACTACTAAAAGCAGAGATAGACCATAGGGGTGCAACGATACAGAAATTCGGTTCATTTTGATACTTTAGTCTCACAGTTCAAGATACAAATAACTGAAATATCCATGCCCTTTTTAGCTTGTAATTTATTGAAATTATTTATGAACATTTGTTTAACCTCAAAAGCACAGTTTTTAACTTGAATTTAAACTTAAATTTTGCTGAAACAGCAAGTTTCTCAGGGGATCTGCGCTCGAAAATACAGCCTAGACGGAGTAGTCGAACACAGATGCTCTGATCCTTCAACACAGAGCCTCTTCAGAAGACAAGCTGATAAAATAAATTTTAAAAATCTGTATTGTTCCATACAAGTGTGTATTGAACTTAAAGCACTGTACTGAACGGTTCGATATGGGTACATTTATTGTCGCACCACTAATAGACCATTATGTCAGTGATGTTGAGGCTGTTGAACGTATCAGTTTGCCTGATTAGCATGTCCAAAATTTTACTTGACTTTCAGAGAATTATTACATCCAGCAGAAAATACATATCGGTGTATCCGTTTTGAGAAAGTATTGGTTTATAGGCCTTAAGAATTATGATAAAAATGTCCTTTATTTGTCTAGCAATTAGCCTAGCCAAAGACATTTGCCTCATTCTCCATTCGCTACGCTCTATGGCTGATGTCAGAAACTGTTTGGTACAAATTATTTAAATGCCTTTCAAACATTTTGCTAACCAAAGGCGGGGTAAACTGTGAATATTGGCTAACAATTTGTGCTTCCCCTCAGACTAAAACAGCATCATTAATACTGCTGTCAGGCAAACAACACTTTGGGGAATAGAAGACAAAACAGCGCTTCCTCTGACATTACAGTTGTAGAGCTAAAAGTAGGGCTTCTCCATTTGTTCATGCATTTTGTTAAGCAATTTCAGACTTCTAAAAAAAGAAGCTGACATCAACAGATACCGAGTTAGATCAGAGACAAATGAACATAATTCAACTCACAGGTTATACAGCATGTCGGCCATGTTGCTGCGGTAGTATAATGCGTTTCTGTAAGCCTGTTCGGCCTTTTCCATCTCCCCTTGGCTCTTCAAAACATTTCCAAGATTGCCCCAAGCTGACAGGTCAAGAAAAGAAATGATGAAGACATAGAAAATTTGTGCCATGATCTTTTACGTCAGTTTTTTTTTAACAGAACCCTAAAAAGGCTCAAGAGTTACAGCAGCGGGAGAGACTTTCAGTGTCAAGTGAYATTTCTTATATCTTTTTCAAAGGCTCTCAACAGTTTACATGCTTTTTAACTTCTAAAAAAAGATGCAGATCTGCAGGAGCTACTCAGACAGAGGAAAAAAAAACTACACACTAGGGGAGCTTAATGCACAAGAATCAGTGTTTTTTACGAGACGGTGCTTGAAAAGAAGACCACCACAGCGGCATTGAAGAAGTGAAGGAGAACAGTAACTGACAGGTGATGTAAGTTTGCTCTGATTTTTTTTTTTACCATTTTGTGCAGAGACTAAGAGAAAATGTATTCAGGAGAATGAACAAAAGACTCAATAGAAGTGAACTGAAAGTGGAACAGAGCAGATTAAAGCAGTTTTATGGATATTAGCTACGACCAAATGCACAGAAAAACGAATGCAACTGTATAAATCTACTGAGACTAAACACCTATCTTACATCTCCATTAAGCATTGTTTTTAAAAATTCATGAAAGACTTAATGAGGTATTTTATTGGCTACAAGCATCTCCACTGGCCTTTTTACTGTGACATGTTTACAGGCCTTAAATGTGTGGTTTGTGGTGGATTAATATACTTTTGAAACGTGACTCAGTGTAATCCTGACAGGATAATTAGTATCAGTAACATCACAGAGCATCCAGTTATAGCTGCTTTCTTGGTATCTCCTTTTATTTCTTAGTGTTTTGCGGTTTCCAAAACAGTTGAAACAATTGCAGGGGCATGTGCATCTCTTTTCAAATCTCATTTTAGCTTTATTGAATGTATGTCTTTTTTTTGTTGTTGCTACTGTGCTGGCCTGCCAAAACAAACAGCTGTCATGCCTCAGCTCCGCTGCAGAATCTGAAAGGGAAATTAGCTAACTCAACATGTCCCTCTGTTGCTTTGTGAGGCCCTTCCCTGTTTCGCTCCTTAGTGGCTGAGCAAACTTCGCTTCGGATTTAAATCTGTGTCTGAAGAATTTAAATACTTTTGAATATTTTATCTCTTTTTGATAGTGGTAGTCGGAGACGAGAGAGGTCAGGCGTGTGTGTCGTCTTTAAACACGAAGAAAAATAACCAGGATTGACGTCTCTATACTTTCATTTTAAGCCAATGTTTGCTTTAGAATCTTTTATATCTGATCAGACTTTTCAAATTTTCCAGCGCTATAAGATCAGCTTGTGGATGTTTCCTTTTTCGGTGCTGAAGCTGAGCGATGAAGACGTTTTGGAGCAGATTCCCTTTAAATTATTTAGTACCACATAAGAAGGAAAGAAAAAAAACAGACTTGGGAACTCATGTTCGTCAGGCAAATGTATAAAATAAAATCTCATTTGAGTCTTACCTTTGGCAGGATTGACATAAATCCCTGACTTGTAGAGCATCTCTTCATTCTGCCAGTCCTGGTTCCTCAAAACAGTCTTGGCGCTAAAAAGTAAAACCAGAACTGCACTGCAGTACAGCAAAACTGTCCTGAAAGACCTGCGCCGCAAGCGGATGTACAGAGACCTCGTCCCCACTGCAACCAACAGGCAAAAACCCATGCTGGGGATGTACAGTACCCGCTCCGCTATCACAAATCCTACATAAAAAAACAAGTTTGTGGCTGGTAGAAAAGGGATAATCAAGAGGCCCAGGGAGAATGCCACAACATTTTCGCTGGTAGGCAGTGGAGTCCTGCTTTCGTTGTGTGTTTTGGTACCATTTTGTGTACTATTATGATGAACATCTGTGTGGGAGTTGCTCACGTGTTCATGGCTGTTACAGTGGTAACTGTGTCCATTACTGTTCCCATTTCTGCCATTAATGTAATGGAGCGCTTTCCCATTGGTGTCCTTGCTCTTTACTGTCGCGGGAGTCCACAGGCAGAACCAAGCCAACAACAACAACCCAGGATAAAACACAAGCGTGTGAAGGTTCCTCCAGTCGGCAAGGGTCCTGATCAGAGGCAAAGCATCCATTGACCAATCAAAGCTGAGCTTGTCTGGGCAGAGGAGGAGCCAAAAGTTAAAGGCAGGCAGGTAGAAAAAGGTTAATGTCCTGGTGATGAGCGAGGGGGAGTCCGCCGCGGGGTTGTCGGAGTTGGAGAAGTTCGGGGGTTTGTTGCCCATCCAAGAGAAGCGGCACGCCAATAAGACAACTCCCCACGCTGCCAAGAAAAACACGTTCAGCAGCAGGTGGATGTTCTTTCTCTGTGTGACAAAGAAAAGAGAGGTGGTGTTCAGACACTCAGCCTACATTAACAAAAGCACTAAAGTAGATCAAACAAAACATGGTTTTTGAGTAAAGTTTTAAAGCGGCCAAAACAGTTTGGATGTATTCAACACCAAGTCTTACAATGTTTGGCAGGTCTAGTTAAAAATGTTTATTTGAATTTTCCACCGAGTTGAAATAAAATATGCTTTCCACGCTTTATTTTTTATTCATATAAAAGCCACGGAATAAATTCATTGATTGTTTAAAAGTGAAGGTGACCTTTTAACAGACTTTTCTATTCACACAGAAGTTTTCTTTTCAACTCCACGGCCTCCGTAAACCTTTCAAAACAAACACAGCTATATGAACTCTATTCATCATTTTTTTAAACCTGATATTAAACACTTTCCCAAATGTGTGGAAATACAGATGAAATATTTATATTGTGTTTGGTTGTTCAACGGTTTGCTGGCAGAACGTTGAAAAATGACTGGATTTCCTGTATTTCTGCACAAGACAGTTCCGACGTCCGGACCTACTGATTTATTTTTTTGTATTCATGTTGGAAACTTTGCTCAGAAATAGCTGCAAWACATGCACAGAGCTGCTCAATCAGCTTGTATTGTGCTTGAGAAATATATAAAGAATATTTAACAAATAGTAAAATTGCTATCGGRAAAAATACAGAATAACAAAAACAGCGTTATTATTATTCGTTTTTTCTATTACTGAGTTGACTGAATCTAATTCTCCAGGGCATCATCACTCTCAATGGTGTCTCAGATGTAATTATGTTGATATTCAAACTCGAATCTGAAGTAACTCAATCTAAAGCAACAATGCATTTTTACCAGAAAGTGTCATTTTTAAAGCTCCACATGCCGGAGGGTTCAACTATGCCTCATCTGTGATCATAAACAAACAGCACTCCTGCTTTGGGGTTGTCATATTGATTGTCTTGTCATTTTCAAATTGTATCTGCAATATAGGGGATTCATTAACCTTTGGAAACAGCCTCAGTTTGTTAATGATCACAGCTATGGCAAATCTAGTGCACAGAAAGAAAACGGCAGGCTAGAAAAGCTGGAGAAAGTGCTGTTAAGTGCTATAAAAAACAATTTTATCATCTTATTACAACAGAAGAGTGGTATTCTTGAGATGAATTACTACTGGTATATGTTTTTTGTTCAAATTTTAAAGATAACAAGAGAGCACACAAAAAAATAATTTAAAAAAAGGTCAGGTCTGACAAAACCTTCAGGGGAGACCTGACAACAGCCTGCTGTGATTCAGTATTTTGAGGAGATGTGCCAGAATGCCAYGGCTGAAGCTGTTCACATGAATGAAACTTTGACCTTTAGTTGCCAATCTAGATCAGTATTTCTCATTAAATCCAGTAACAGCAGGCGCTATCATGCTCAGCTTCCTATGAAAACTAAAGGAAAACAATAGCTAGAGATAAACAAATATTGGAAAAAAAATGAGAATCTTTGAAAAGAAGCTAAATCTTAAAAAATTACGACAGTTTTGCAAGGATACAATGAGTGAAGTACAGGTATCTGTCAGCCACAATCAATTACTGATGGTTTTGTTTAGAGAAGTTGACTTAAAAACAAAAACAAGTTCCAGTGTGTAAACTTTTAAAAGACCCAAGAGACTGCATGCTGTTCCTGATGTTCCTTCAGGACATTCCAGCTATGAGGTTTGGTTCTTAAGCAATTTGTACTTTTAGATATTTTGTTTTTTTTATTTTTTTATTTTTTTGCAATTCTTTTCATATTGAAAATTAATGGAGCGGTCTTCAACATCCTTAAAATCATTCAAAATGTTCATAAATCTTTACTGTACTTTTTACTTTTTGTTCTGTTTCTGCTGCATTTAGCTTCTAGCCTTTTTAGCTATCATTCTATCCTTTTCTGCTATTCTGCTAATTTCAATGTTTTTATGCTTTAGATTGTTTCAGTTATTTTAAGCAATTTAAGCTTCTTTCAGCTGCTTTTTGCTAGTCAGTGTGCATTGCATTGGCAATGCACACTATTGTGATTCGTTTCCCATCCAAGTCATCTCCACTTTGGCATGCTTCTCCTCCTGCATACTTTGTCCTAGAGCTGCCATTGTAATTTATATCTGTCAAGCTCCTGTGCCAAATGATTGCTATGCCTTTTGATGCCTGTACAACTTATATTTTTTTGAAATATTAATGTTAAAATCAAATAATAGGAGTCAATGGAGCCTTATATTGGTCCAATACTGCCCCATGCTGTATCTACTTAGTACTGCACCATAGTTTAATAATATTTAAACTCAGCAGTTCAGTGTTTACAATACAAACATGATTGTATTTTGATATTTCACTATAATATTGTCCTAATATTCCTTTATTGTTGTAATATATTGCAGTTTAGTGTCAACAATTGCATTGGCAATATGGCCTCTTTCAGCACACATACAAACTTAACACTGGGAGTGCCTACTGCAACAGCTCCTATAGTCTCATGGTGAACACTATGGGCTTTCATGCGGGAGATCAGGGTTCAATCCCAGCCATAAACATAATGTTTCATTACAACTACATATTTTCTAATTGTCACATTCTCACAAACTACCCTCATCACAAACAACTGCTGACTCGGCAGGCACAGGCTGGTACTTGATTGGCAAACACATTTCAACTTGGTCACAGTTCAAGCTGCAGGCAATGCACACTTGTTTATGCATCGTAAAAACCCATGTCTAGTTTCAGCTGTTTTCTGTGTTTTCATCTACTTTTTAGCTAATTTAAGCTTTTTCAGCTAAATTAATATTTCTATGATAATTTCAGCATCTTACTGCTTAATTCAGCAAATATGCTCTGTTTCTTTATGCTAATTTCAGCTATTTTATATACTTTTTAAAACTATGATAGCTTTAGCTTTTTTAGATACTCAACAAAAGTCTTTCAACATTAGGCATTCACATTTCATTTTCTCAGGAAATGCAAGTTATTTACTGACTCACTTTACTTATTTACAAACTCAATAAGACTTACAGGATTTTTTTTTGACTGAGTAAAAAAATGTGATATATCAGTTGTATTACAAAAATGCCCCTATTTTATACAACTAATTAGTCAAGTTCAACCAAAATTAAAGAGACCTTGTTGCTACTTTACAAAAAACAAAAAAACAAAATTAAAAATACTCCACTGCCACACAGAGGCAGGTTGAAGTGGTCTGAGAGGGTCTGAGAGGCCCAGGGGCTGCACTTTGTACAGACTGTGCCAGAGAGGTTTATGGGGCAGTGTTAATACTCCTCAGTCACTGCTTGAGGAATATCCAGCTCAGATTCCTGAAACTTTTTAACAGGGATTCAAGACAAGTGGCTGCTCCAAACACAGGCATGCATATAGTAACAAAGTGGTTTGTTACTTCAGTTTAAGAAGATAAATAGATTATGCAAACTTTCTGGTTCCTAAAATGACAAAACCCTGTGTTTCATGACCTGTGCATGCTGTCTTTTAAATTTAACAAGTGACCTTGGCTCATGCTGTGATTAAAAGAAAAATAATCAGAAAGACAATGATGTGGCCTTTTTTTTTTTTTTTGCATTTACTTTTGAGGAGCTGAACATGCTTAATAATCTAGAACTGCTTCTAAACATTCAAACCTGGCGCAGTGACAAACAAATATGTCATCTTGACTCTTTGCAGACTCAGCACAAACTCATATACTACCATCCTAACTACATCCATATGTCAGTGTTGAGGACTGAGGGGAGGTGACACTTTACTGCTGCACTTGTATACACCCCCCCTCCCTTTTTTTCTTTTTTTTGATCAAGAGAAATTTTCTGTGTGGTAATAAATATTGCAAGTCTTTCGATTGCATTCATCTAAATAATTCTCAAGCCTTATTTTAATAACTTTTCCGACTTTTCAGCAATGACAAGTCGATGGCAAAGAAACAGGAATCGGTTCGGAGACCTACCAGGGGGCACCGATTACAGAGAGACAAACAAAGATGTGTATCCTTCAGAGGATGGTTCTAGTTAAATACAAAAGCATATGCTCAGTTATTAACTGTCCAATAGCTGTCTAAGTCCCGGGGCCCTATTTCACTGGAAACCCAAAGCCTTCCAGCTTTGTGTCTTTTGCTAATAATCCAGCTTATTCTGAAATAAGTAGTTTACCACAACCCTGAGGGAGACAAGTGGGTTGGTTTTATCTCTTTTCTGTTTGAGGAGCAATCAGCCCTCAACTGTAACAATTTAGGCTTTATAAATCATACATGTAAATAAATTGAATATCCTTGGAGATGAGTTGCAAAACAGGCTAAGTGGGAGACTTTAGTTTTGTGTCTCTTATTGGATTTTTCTTTGTTGCTATTGTTGCTTTTCTTTGTTTAACAATGCGGTTTTTGAGAGCAAAGGTCTGTAGATAAATAAATTGAAAGGAGCTCAAAGAGAAATTTAATTAGCTCGGAGAAAATATTTTAGGCACACGAAGGCTTTTCCGTATAATTGGCCGATGTGCACCATATATCTACAGTTTTTCCAAATCATTCCAAGAACAATCTATCACACTGAACATCTAACAAGCCCACCAAAGGGCAAAGCCAGGATTGGYTCGTACTCTGGCAGCAACCTGAGAAAAAAAATCCTGTGAAAGAAGTGGCACGTCTGACCTATTCCCTCCTCTTCATCATTACTGAGATCAATTGTCTGCAGAGGGCCTTTCATCAAGATCCTGCCTTACACTGATAGACTTGTAATGGAAGTGAAAATGAGCTCAGGGAACCAATCTAAGTGTTACCACCTTCAAAGCCTTCAGACACAGGCACAAACACAAAGAAAGCTCACATTTAGTAAGCACACCACATCCTCGTGAAAGCCAGCAAAWACCTATCTATGGGTTTGATGGATGGATAAACGTTAGACTTTAAATGCTGGAACAACTAATCAAGCCTGAACCGCAAGTTCACTCTCTCTTCTTTCTTATCAGCTGCAGCTGTTGTGATCC